TAATGATCCGAGAAGGATTTTTAAGATAATGCTTTGTCGTTTCAAGAAAAATTCAAAGTCATATTATAAGCTATGATGCGTTTCAGAATGTTTGCAAGATGAAACCGAGTTGTGAGTTTGAAATACAGTAGTTACAAGATGACATAGATGTTGTCAGTTTGAAATACAGTAGTTACAAGATGACATCGATGTGGGGAGTTTTAAATACAGCAGTTACAAGATGACATCGATGTTGGGAGTCTTAAATACAATATTTACAAGATGACATCGATGTTGGGAGTATTAAATACAGTACTTACAAGATGACATCGATGTTGGGAATTTTAAAAACAGTACTTACAAGATGACATCGATATTGGGAGTTTTAAATACAGCAGTTACAAGTTGACTTCGATGTTGTGAGTTTTAAATGCAGCAGTTACAAGATGGCTTCGATGTTGGGAGTCTTAAATACAGTAGTTACAAGATGACATCGATGTTGGGAGTTTTAAATACTGTAGTTACAAGATGGCTTCGATGTTGTGAGTTTTAAATGCAGCAGTTACAAGATGGCTTCGATGTTGGGAGTCTTAAATACAGTAGTTACAAAATGACATCGATGTTGGGAGTTTTAAATACTGTAGTTACAAGATGACATCGATGTTGTGAGTTTTAAATGCAGCAGTTACAAGATGGCTTCGATGTTGGGAGTCTTAAATACAGTACTTACAAGATGACATCGATGTTGGGAATTTTAAATACTGTAGTTACAAGATGACATCGATGTTGGGAGTTTAAAATACAGCAGTTACCGTGAGGTTTCAAATGTCGTGGATTCATCATGCTAGTGTCCGGACATGGCTCATGATGCCAAAATGGCAGTGTTATACTGAAACAGTCAGAACTTTCGGTCTTTTGTCTGGGGTAATTGAGGTTGTAGAGAAACTTTGGCAAATTTAATACCTTTATTGAACAGCTTTTATCGTTTTTTTACCTGACTACATTGCTTACATAGCTTCCTTCATGTACCTGACTACATTGCTTACATAGCTTCCTTCATGTACCTGGCTACATGGCTTATATAGTTGCCTTCATGTACCTGGCTACATTGCTTATATAGCTGCCTTCATGTACCTGGCTACATGGCTTATATAGTTGCCTTAATGTACCTGACTACATTGCTTATATAGCTGCCTTCATGTACCTGGCTACATGGCTTATATAGCTTCCTTCATGTACCTGGCTACATGGCTTATAAAGCTGTCTTCATGTACCTGGCTACATTGCCTATATAGTTGCCTTCATGTACCTGGATACATGGCTTATATAGTTGCCTTCATGTACCTGGCTACATGGCTAATATAGCTGCCTTCATGTACCTGGCTACATGGCTTATATAGCTGCCTTCATGTACCTGGCTACATGGCTTATATAGTTGCCTTCATGTACCTGACTACATGGCTTATATAGCTGCCTTCATGTACCTGGTTACATGGCTTATATAGCTGCCTTCACGTACCTGGCTACATGGCTTATATAGCTGTCTTCATTTACCTGGCTACATGGCTTATATAGCTGCCTTCGCGAACCTGGCTACATGGCTTATATAGCTGCCTTCATGTACCTGACTACATTGCTTATATAGTTGCCTTCATGTACCTGGCTACATGGCTTATATAGTTGCCTTCATGTACCTGACTACATTGCTTATATAGCTGCCTTCACGAACCTGGCTACATGGCTTATATAGTTGCCTTCATGTACCTGACTACATTGCTTATATAGTTGCCTTCATGTTCCTGGCTACATGGCTTATATAGCTTCCTTCATGTACCTGGCTACATGGCTTATATAGCTGCCTTCATGTACCTGGCTACATGGCTTATATAGTTGCCTTAATGTACCTGACTACATTGTTTATATAGTTGCCTTCATGTACCTGACTACATTGCTTATATAGCTGCCTTCATGTACCTGGCTTATATAGCTGCCTTCATGTACCTAGCTACATGGCTTATATAGCTGCCTTGATGTACCTGGCTACATTGCTTATATAGCTGCCTTCATGTACCTGGCTACATGCTTATATAGCTGCCTTCATGTACCTGGCTACATGGCTTATATAGATGCCTTCATGTACCTGGCTACATGGCTTATATAGCTGCCTTCATGTACCTGGCTACATGGCTTATATAGCTGCCTTCATGTACCTGGCTACATGGCTTATATAGCTGCCTTCATGTACCTGGCTACATGGCTTTTGCCTTCATGTACCTGACTACATGGTATATAGCTGCCTTTAGTCCGCATCTCAATTTTGACTTCTAACCATTTATTCCTCATCTTTACATATTATTTTATCTCAACATCAATCAAGACATGTTTCCAGTTGTACCTACAAGCTGGCAAGTTCCCATTAATATCGTGCATGTCCTCGTTGCAACCATTCATCTAAATCGTCTGCTGGTAAGACTACTTCGCGTCACCCCACTGCCATTTCGACTTGACCTGCGTCACCCCACTGCCATTTGGACTTTACCTGCGTCACCCCACTGCCATTTCGACTTGACCTGCGTCACCCCACTGCCATTTGGACTTGACCTGCGTCACCCCACTGCCATTTTGACTTGACCTGCAAGCTAATCTTCTGATGTGTCCATAGAAGCTGAGTTCAGCTATTTCAAGCGGATGATTTTCTTTCCTTCTCTCCTGGATGGTGAGACTCTTGATTCATGTCACGATCACGTGATGACCATGGATTAAAAATTTAAATTATTTTAAAGATTTTTTTCATAGATTTTTATTTAACGGGACACCATCAGCGTCTTTTTAAGAGTAGGTATTAACCCAAACTTGCCTTCATTTGCCCCAGGTCATTTATACCTGGCTACACACATGCAAGGCTGGCTAATGTCTCCTATAACATCATGGTCACTCTATAACTACGTGCAAAAATTAGAGGAAGGGGAGTATGTTTTTTAAGACCAAGATCTTAACAGCTTATTTTTGAAATGTATTTGAGGTCAAAGGTTAACTTAAATAGCAGGTCATATGATGTAAAAAGAATTTTAAAAATTAAAAGTCTGTTAGTGTTCATACTTAGCAAACAAAATACCACATTCAACAAATAATGTTTCGTATAACGGTATTTCTAGATACAAAACTGAAGGCAGCAAAAGCTACAAGCAAACCCACTAGACTTGGTGCAGTTATTATTTTATTTCCAGAAACGTTTACCATGTCAACAAATAAGAACACAGAAGAATGAAAAAGAATACATGAGTTTTATTCATGGAATTATCACCATATCTCACCACGCTATGTACAACATTACAGTTATAAGTTATAGGCAATGTCGCAATTCAACAGGTTACTTCTTTCAGATGCTTAATATAAGCCTGAGAGAATGCCCATACCTTTTACATCAGATACATATTAATATATAAGGTCATTCAATTCATAACATAAGGGATGGGATCAATAAATTCAGAACAAACTACTTGGGGGTATAAACATCCAATGATCCAGGTTTGGACTGTCTGCTTTCACTATGAACATCAAGGCTTGGGCTGTCTGCCTTCACATCCAGGCCTGGGCTGTCTGCCTTCACATCCAGGCCTAGACTGTCTGCCTTCACATCCAGGCCTGGACTGTCTGCCTTCACATCAAGGCCTGGGCTGTCTGCCTTCACATCAAGGCCTGGGCTGTCTGTCTTCACATCCAGGCCTGGACTGTACCTTCACATCCAGACCTGGAATGGCTTGGACAATAGGACATGAAAGGGGAAAGGCCACATATTTTCATGTATCCCAACCCCTTCTCTGCAGATATCTGGCTTTAAAAAGAATGATGATTCAGTAACGGTTGGTGTCAATGGATTTAACCCAAAGAGAACATCTGAAGAGGTCATTTGAACATCTTCCACTTGTTATGGTGGCAAATAATGAAACATAGTGTCTACATTTGAAAACCTTTCAGTCTTACAGAAATGATAGTATAATTGGTACCATTGAAGTTACAAAGTAACAGACCAATAATTTTCTAGGCATATAACACAATAAATATTAGAGGGGCAAAGGTTGGATTGGAAGGATTTTTGTATTATAATTGTGGGCGGAGGAGGGAAGGACCAAGACAAGAGATGGTAGGACCAATAAGTTATTAATAATACATCTGCAAGAATTATGTAGAGTAGGATTGCTTGCAAAGATACCATATAGTATGACAGGATGTACACTATTGATAGATATAGAGGAAAGAAAGGACCATATAGTATGACAGCATGTACATTACTGATAGATCTAGGGGAAGGAAAGGACCATATAGTATGACAGGATGTACACTACTGATAGATCTAGGGGAAAGAAAGGACCATATAGTATGACAGGTTGTACACTACTGATAGATCTAGGGGAAAGAAAGGACCATATAGTATGTAAGGATGTACACTACTGATAGATCTAGGGGAAAGAAAGGACCATATAGTATGACAGCATGTACACTACTGATAGATCTAGGGGAAAGAAAGGACCATATAGTATGTAAGGATGTACACTACTGATAGATCTAGGGGAAAGAAAGGACCATATAGTATGACAGCATGTACATTACTGATAGATCTAGGGGAAAGAAAGGACCATATAGTATGTAAGGATTTACACTACTGATAGATCTAGGGGAAGGAAAGGACCATATAGTATGACAGGATGTACACTACTGATAGATCTAGGGGAAAGAAAGGACCATATAGTATGACAGCATGTACATTACTGATAGATCTAGGGGAAAGAAAGGACCATATAGTATGTAAGGATTTACACTACTGATAGATCTAGGGGAAGGAAAGGACCATATAGTATGACAGCATGTACATTACTGATAGATCTAGGGGAAAGAAAGGACCATATAGTATGACAGGATGTACACTACTGATAGATCTAGGGGAAAGAAAGGACCATATAGTATGACAGGTTGTACACTACTGATAGATCTAGGGGAAAGAAAGGACCATATAGTATGTAAGGATGTACACTACTGATAGATCTAGGGGAAAGAAAGGACCATATAGTATGACAGCATGTACACTACTGATAGATCTAGGGGAAAGAAAGGACCATATAGTATGTAAGGATGTACACTACTGATAGATCTAGGGGAAAGAAAGGACCATATAGTATGACAGCATGTACATTACTGATAGATCTAGGGGAAAGAAAGTAACAAACTAAGGTGCCTGACAAAAAAGATGATAAGAATCAAAAGGAGAATTAAGTGAACATGGTGTAAACAAAACGCAGGATATATCTATGGTGAGATGATTCCCAAACAATATATATATCCATGGTGAGCTGATCTCCCAAACACAGGATATATCCATGGTGAGATGATTCCCACAAACATGGGATAAATCCATGGTGAGATGATCTCCCAACGTCACAGGAAGAATTTATTTACATTGGATTTTGCCTCACTGGACGGCAGTTACTGAACAAAGCTGACATTAGTCAGTTTTATCATGTGTCCCCATTTGTTATGAGCCAAGCACATCTCACCAGAGCACATGTTAGCTACAGCATCAAATATTTAGTTATACACAGTGACATTGGAATGCAATTTTCTTTGCTCATCTCTTTGTTAAAGTCATGGACTGAATCAATGTCCAAGAATCCTTTGTGGACAGTTATAAATATTTCACTCACTTTTTGTTTGACAATAAAAAATCTTTCATCATCATATCTCATTTCCACATCATAAAACACTCCTGTAAGCCTAGTTACCACCCCTGTAAGCCTAGTTACCACCCCTGTAAGCCTGGTTACCACTCCTGTAAGCCTAGTTACCACCCCTGTAAGCCTGGTTACCACCCCTGTAAGCCTGGTTACCACCCCTGTAAGCCTGGTTACCACTCCTGTAAGCCTGGTTACACACCAATGTGAAATATTCCAATTGGAAACTAAGACCAGATTTCTGTTAGTCATATCCAAGACTAACTTTCTTATTGTTTAGCCAGCACTTGCTAGCCACAAACAATTAGGAGAGTCAGAGAAGACAAAAAAAGGATAATAATAAATAGAAAACATCGACGTTTGTTACTCAAGCATTCTTTCAATAAATTTGCTTCACAAGAAAAGTTTTTACAACCTGGAAAGAGTTTAAGCCATTTCTGTAGGATTGCACCTTTAAAATAAAACTTTGTGGTGAAACATTGGGGCTCAACATTAGGACAATAGCTAACTTGACTTTTTCTTAAAATCTCAAATGGACAAGAGAAAATTGAAAAGTCAGGAATTTGCAAGTCTGAATTGGCATACAAAATAAAATGTTGCCATGAATCAAACACTGCATGTTTCTAAAGTGTTGCTTATAATAATGTACAAAAATATAAGTTCCATGGGGCTATTTTTGATAGCACTGAGCATTACATCAATTCATATAACACTACCGTTTACACAGTAAAGTTTCTAATGACCTTCTGGATTGGTTTTCTACAAATAGGACATGACTTACGCTGTTTCTTTAGTTTTTTAGCACAACGATAGCAGCACGCCTGATGCCCTGATTTTCCATGAACCAGACTGGCCGTCTTTTTACGAGAAAAGCAAATAACACACAAATTTTTGGATCCACCGTATGAGTTCTGTTTTTTAGAGTTTCCTCCATCTTCTGAAGATTGGTCTGCTGGATCTATTTCCTCCATTTTATCATCGCTATCATCACTGGAATCGGTAAAATCTTTGAGGATCTTGGGGACACTGTCTTTCTCTTGACTTGAACAAGTCATGGCAGTGGCATGCTCTTGACTTGACCTGGTCATGGCATTGGCATTTTCTTGACTCTGCGTCTGGGAAGAATCCGGTTCATCATATCTGCAAATACTTGCAGCGGTCTCCTGACTGGTTGAGACAGTGTTATCTGTAGCATGTGTGACTTGTTGGGGTAGGCAGTCAGTTGAGACAGAGTCGTCTCCAGCATGTGTGACTTTTTGGGGCAGCCAGTCGGGTCTGACACTCCAACAACCGGCACAGTTTCTCTGGAAGGGGGGGTTGCTTATTTGACAATAGCCACAGTACCATTTGTCCTGTGAAATACAAAGAGACCATAAAACAACATCAATTTTTAATTTAGTGCCAACTTATATTCTAGTCAAATAATAAATGTCCTGTTTAAAACTGTACTTCTCATTGAAGGGGGCATAACGATAAGATTCTTTTATTGATTCAAATAAAAAGACATTTTTTTTTTATTACATTAAGATGTATTCAATTTCAGCACATACTCTAACCAAGGAAATATTTTATAATTAGAATAATTTAAACACTGGACGTCTAAATTATTTCTCTAGCATAAAAATCAGACATTATATAACCATAAAACTTTAACTCCCTAAGTGACACTAACGACTTAAATAGTGATCATTTAGATTTGGCAACCCCTGGCGGAGCAGACAGGTAAACTTTGACAGAATGGGGAAGGATTTGCACATCTTCGGTCCTAACTTTAAGAGAAAGAATTTGCCCTAATCGAGCTGATCTTAGGTGTCTGTGATGAAGACGTTGGGATGTATCAACCAAAATATTTTTTAGTTTTACAACAGCATTTTTCTTCAAGGGAAGGATGTTAAGGGATATGACCAGCTTTCTTGATTAGTCTATTCAATCAGTGTTTGTTGTCAGACATTGACTTCCCACACCAGTAGGTAATAATGAAGTTGAGTAGGCTGCCAGCTGTTGCACTGTTGAATAAGTTAATAACAGTTTACGTCGAAATGAGTTAAGATAGAAAAGTCTTTGGCTGCCGTTTTATAGAGAAATACTGTGTTACAAGAATGAGGAAGATTCCATTAAAAACTTTAAAAGACTAAGCATGTCAAACTCATATATACTGATTGGGGTTACACCAATGGAGTTACAGCAATGAGCTAATTGGCTGATTTCTGATGATCTGCCAATTACTTGGTGCAACTCTAAGACTGACATAGATTCTTTGAATCAGGTGAAATCTATTTATGAAGCATGATTAGTTTCTCATCCCCATTTTGCCAACACTTTCCAAATACTTACAGCTTCAGTGAGTTCTGCATCACTTCCATGGTCAGAATCACTGTAGTCGGCAAGGTACTCTACATCACTTTCTTTGCACACTATTAAGAGAGCCTGACATTTAGGAGTAAAATATTTACCACCATTACATATTATATTTTAATTAGTATCTGAAATGCATGACTTTTGGATGCTCTGTGCCAATTTTAAGGCCCCCCCCCCCTTCCCTTCAAAGTGTATAATTAATTTTTTTTTTCTCATTGCAACTTTGGGACACTTAAATAACAGAGACTACCTGTAGGGCCCATAAGTCGGCATTGACTGTATCACTGCTATGCCATTGCTATTCTGATATTCTAATTACTGGTGGCTTTAAGCAAGTCAGACTCCAGAAGTGTCAGCTGCTAGAAATCATTTCAAAAAAATTCCTATTGAATAACAGTTCAAACTTAATGGCAATGTTTGTGTATGTTTCATTATAGATGTTTTAGAAAGTTGCAATGAATTCAAACAGAACGGACAAGCTTCAAATACAAATTAGCAAGGACTACAATTAAGGTTACCTTTCCTGAAGCTGAGCTGCTATCAGAGACCAGGTCACTGTCATCCATTTGACCTTCTTTAGTGCCTGTTTCTGAGCTAGATGCCACTTCATATTCAACAGAGAAGGTATCAGAATCATATTCCACAATGACAGTATCCTATGGACAACAATATAAATATGTACATGTCCACTCTAAATTAATATGGTATTACCTGGAGTAATGTACCATTTTTGATAGCAATCAGTTAATTACCAATCAACTGGCATATGTGCAGTAGTGTGAACTCTTTTTTAGTAACTTTGATATGTATCACTAAAATATACTCCAAAACTAATCGAAAATGATTCCAGAGACCCATATCAGTATAAATTATTCTGAGAGTAAATTGTAATCATATGGTTTGAATGTTGGAATCCTGTGAGCTAATGTGAAATGAATATGACCTCGACCTTTCATGAGTACAATTGAGCCAATGTTAATCTTTCTTCACATCACACCCACACTGACTGGTTTGGTTTTTTTAAATCATCTAAATAAGTTTGTCAGACATACAAAACATTCTTTCAGTTGAAAAAATATAAAGTTAGTAGGTTTAATAGAATCTTGTTGGTTTTTTTTTAAAATCATTGGTGACCTACATATTTCTTATATAATGCCTATTAAATTCATTAGTACCCTATTCTCCACTACTTCCACTATTAAAACTAGAACTGTTACCACGGCTAGATCCACAATTACATGTGAAACTGATACCAGTGTTCAATCAACTATTAGAACTGGAACTGCTCCTAGTGCTAGATCCACTACCTTAATATAATTATCACTACTATGAGTAATGCAAAAAAAACTAAACTAAAAATAACTTTTATAAAAAATAATTCAAATAAATCAGGCATTTGTTTTGCAGGCCCAACATCTGAGTCCTGCAAATTAACATCTTAGTCCTACAAATTAACATCTGAGTCATACAAATTAAATGTTAATAACATCTTAGTCTTTCAAGTTAACATGTTAGTCCTACAAATTAAAAACTGAATCATACAACTTAACTTCTGAGTCACACAAGTTAACATCTGAGTCACGTAAATTAACATCTTAGTCCTACAAATTAACATCTTAGTCCTACAAATTAAAAACAGAGTCACACAAGTAAACATCTTAATCCTACAAATTAACCTCTTAGTTCCTACAAATTAAAAACAGAGTCACACAAGGAAACATCTTAATGCTACAAATTAACATCTTAGTTCCTACAAATTAAAAGCAGAGTCACACAAATAAACATCTTAATCCTACAAATTAACCTCTTAGTTCCTACAAATTAAAAAGTTGTAGTCCTTCAAGTTAACATCTTAGTCCTACAAATGAACATCTTAGTCCTACAAGTTAAAATCTTAGTCCTACAAATTAACATGTTAGTCCTAAAAGTTAAAATCTTAGTCCTACAAGAGAGTTTCACACACATAACTGATAATTTCAGCTTGATTCAAAATTTAAAATTAAAATATCAACACATGAAATATTTACCTTGGTTTTCTATAAATGGGAAGTAAATCTAATTTGTTATAGTTATCCCACTTGAAAAAAACAAAACTTTTCACATTTATATTAATTTTAATAGAGGCCGACTATATCAGCAGTAACACCACAGAAGCAGCCATAACGGCCAATGATCTGCCATTATGACTGTTCATAGGTTAAATAATACTAATACACTTACACAATAATTAAACATATAAAAATTGTATAAAGAACTTCTACATTATTGCAAACTATTTATAGTACAAGGAAACCAAAAGTATATAACATATACTTACATCTTCAGGTTTATTGATATCACCAGCACAAGTTTCCAATTGGACTTCACAAGACCACGGACCGGACGCAGCATCTGGTTCATCATAAGTAACATTTATAGAAGTACTGCGCTTTTTTCTTCTATTTGTCTCCTGTTGCTGCTTCAATTAAAGTAAACAATAACATGTATAAACTGGACATTCTATCCAAAAAAAAAGTTTGATGTTAGTCATTTGAGGAACTGAAAATGAAAATAGCAGCATTAAAATAACCACCATTCACCTGACTCAAATTATGAAATACTTTTAATTAATACCTTTATTTTTGGTCTCTTAACAAAAAAAAGTATTTGTTGAGCATTATTATTTTATTTATATAAATTATAGGATATGTGATAATTACAATCAAATTACTGAAGGTTGATTATGCAGATATTACATAGTTAATAACATAGAATATCTACTTATGTTAAAACCACAAAATAATTTGTATTTAATATTTTATGAGGACTACAACTTGGTACTTGGCAAAAGCTTTTGTGGCGATGGTTGTTGCTAAAAAAAATACTTACAGAATCACCAGGACATTTTTCCATATCACTGTCAGTTATAATCACAGAAGCTTCTGCAGCTTTGAAATATAGAAATTGTTAAACGTTGTGGAAATGAATGAAGAGTGCAGTGTAAATGAAAATTTCTAAAAGTAATTGTAAGTACAATTAAATATTGATGATAAAAACATTGTTAAATTAGACTACCTTAGAATTAGATTTGAAAATAAATAGAAATTAGCTCATTCGCCTGTTAAACAAATATTTCCCTATAATATATAGTGTAAAATATCCAACATGATCAATTCAGGCCTACCTGGATGTGAACAAGAAGGTAACATAGCATCTGTGAGATCATTTGAGCAAGTCTGAAAATAATTATCCAATCAACGATTCTAAATATATGTTTCAAATGTTTTTTAAACACAATAATTTAATATGGACACTAGCTACTGAAAGAATTTGGATGAAGAATCTATTGTCTCTTATTGCATAACTTTATAAATTAAGACAGACCCTTATTCCCAATACCAGATCATATACGTCTGACTTGTCTTAATTTTAACCAGGACCTGTGGAAGCAGGTACCAGTGGCGTACCAGATAGAGAAAATAGATGGATCTCCCACTTCTGCAGCATATTCTAAACTCATTTGGACCTTCCGGTAGAAGCCATCGGCACCATTTACTTTCTAAAATATGTTTTAATTTCTTTTGTCCAAATTCTCTGAATAGCTTCAGTAATGGGGAATTTATTTATTCACGAGATGATTGCTAATTTTACAGTAATCTGGCATATAATTTCTCACTAGAAACAACCTGTGGAAAATCACAGAGGCACAGGAACACAGAACACTCTTGACCTACTCCTCACCAATTGTCCACATCGTGTCCAAAAAGTTGATGTCATCCCCGGGATTTCGGACCACAACATTCCTTATTGTGAATTTCAGGTCAACACACTAAAAATGAAACAAATCATTCGAGAAATCCCAATTTATGCCAAGGCAGACTGGGATGGCCTAAGGATTGCAACCACAGAGCTAAGCTCAAACATGAAGGTGATTCAAGGTAAAGCGACAACAGACGAGCTGTGGGTGAAGTTCAAGACTACAATCACTGATGCAGTGAAGAAATTTATACCACACCAAATCACCAAACCTAGGATAAATCAGCCATGGGTCACGGCTGAAATCCGTAGGCTCATCCACAGGAGAGACCGCCAATACAAACGCATGAAGAAAAATGGCTCGATTGAACTGAGAGAGGAGGTACTGAGACTCCGCCGAACCATTCAACGCTTATTGCGTAATTCGTATTGGAACTACATGAACGGCATCTTCTCAGAGGAAGACACCCCGACCAAAGATGTCAAGAACAAGCGCTTCTGGAGCTATGTGAAACACCAAAAGTCCTCAAACGCTGGAGTTTCCCCCTTGAGGTGGGATGGCCAATTGACATCTGACCCAAAAGCACAGGCGGAGATACTCAATCAGCAGTTCCAGTCGGTCTTTGGTGACGGTAGAGAGTACTCTGAGACTGAGTTCCTTCTGAAGACCAAAATGATGAACAGAGCCTATCCTATCATGGGAGATATCCAGATATCAGAACAAGGTGTGTTTGCCCTCCTCAATACCATTAACCCTTACAAAGCATGTGGTCCTGACAACATTAAACCACGAGTGCTCAAAGAATTAGCCAAAGAAATCGCTCCTGCACTGACAATCCTCTTCCAATCGTCACTATGCACAGGAAATGTTCCAGCAGACTGGAGAACAGCGCATGTCACTCCAATTTACAAGAAAGGGGAGCATTCCGACCCTGCCAACTATCGTCCGATATCCCTCACTAGCGTCGTCTGCAAACTGTTGGAGCACATAATCGTAAGCTCTGTCATGAAGCATCTTGAAAGCCAAAATATACTCAATGACTGTCAACATGGCTTCCGAGTCAATAGGTCATGTGAGACCCAGCTTCTCGAATTTGTAGAAGACTTGATGACCAATCTGGAGAACCACAAGCAGACTGACGTGCTAGTAATGGACTTCGCAAAAGCATTTGACCGGGTGAATCATAGTTTGCTTCTACACAAACTCCAGATATATGGGATTCAAGGCACCACTAAAACATGGATCTCTAGCTTCCTCAGCCACCGACGCCAAGCAGTAGTGGTGGGCGGTACAAGCTCCTCCTTTGTCAATGTGAAGTCAGGGGTCCCCCAGGGATCAGTCCTGGGCCCCTGTTTGTTCCTAGCATACATTAATGACCTACCGGAGAAACTGACATCACAGGCAAGACTGTTTGCAGATGACACAGCAGTGTATAGGACGATCGCCAACAGATCTGACCAGGACCAGCTACAACAGGATCTCAATCTGTTAGCTGAGTGGGAGATGAGCTGGGACATGGAATTTCACCCTGCCAAGTGCCAGACACTATCAATCTCTAGAAGTTGTACTCCTCTACACTACCAATACAAACTGCACGGCCATATTCTTGAGCAAGTTTCCTCCGTAAAGTACCTGGGTGTTACCATTCAAAGAGAGGTCCGCTGGGACGAGCATATTAACAATGTATGTAACCAAGCAAACCAAGCCTTGGGGTTCTTAAGGCGAAATCTAAAGATTGGCAACTCCTGTGTGAAAGAAAGAGCATATAAAGCCTTTATCCGTCCGATTTTAGATTATGCATCTTCAGTCTGGGACCCATTTACCCAGAAGAGCATTGACAGGTTGGAGGCGGTCCAGCGACGAGCAGCACGCTTTGTCCTAAACCGCTACAGGAATACCTCTAGTGTTGGCAGCATGCTAGAAACACTAGGCTGGTCACCATTGGAGAAACGACGACGACAATCCAGGCTCTCCATGATGTACAAGATAAATAATGGGCTGGTCCACTGTTCCAGTATTAAACAGAAACTCGTCCCTCTCCCCCATAGACAGCGACGAGGCCATGACAGGCAATTCAGGCTCATACCAGCAAGAAGCCAGTATAGGAGCTGCTCATTCCTGCCCAAGACAATCAGGGACTGGAACCATCTTTCAAAAGGAACAGTTGAGGCGACAACACTAGACACATTTGTGTCTATTGCCTCAAGCCTTCAAACCCCTAGTGCATAATTTCCTCATCACCACCAGTAACAGAAACATTGCAAATCCCATCTACATGCATAGGAGCCAAAATGATCAATAAATTGATCGTGGGCCCTTAAGATATAGAAGAAGAAGACCTTCCCCCTGCCAAGACCAGTCCCCTCCTTCAACGTCCCAAATCTCTGCTCCCCTGCCCACCACCCTAAATCTTGACCATTGATCCAAATTACTTTCCGATTTTTAGCAACACTATATAAATCATAGAATCAAAGTTTCTATTTTACATGCCTTAGTTCAATAAATCATCACAAACTCCCTCTTTTGGTGAAGTTCTAGAAAGCACAATTTCTGTTTACATTTAAAAATCAATGTAATAGGTTTCTGATCTTACGCTTGTTTTATTACCTATTTGATTTTTTTTTTAAATGATGCTAGCTTTTGTTTTTTTTAATGATTGCATTTATATTCCACACAAAAATTCACTTCTACGCTGTAGAGTAACAGAGTAGTGTACACTTGTGATGTAAAAACTTTGCTTTTCGCTGGCTGAGAAAGACATGTCTGAGCTTTTCTTATATGTATTCTCATAGATGGTGGGACGGGGCAGTCACAGGTTGCAAGGGGGAAACTTTGGCAAAGGCCTCAAATTCAAGGATGAATCAAATTCATATATGGTCTCATTCATGAATAAAAGCTTGTTACATATTACAAGATAGAATTTATGACAGTCCTTGCGCAGAGATTTAGCTTAGCTAAAATTAAATACGAAAATTGATACCAACAAGGTTCTAATATTATCAACCTGTACAACATTATCTGACATAGAACAAATTAATTTTTATTTTAAAATTCTGATAGAATATCAAACCAGCTGGGGCAACTTATCAAATGGGGATGATCTCGATCAAAAAGGACATATTGTAAGCCTATATTTGTTCAATGCATAATTACTCACTTGTTTTTCATTAATACAAGAACTAGATGAAGGTAAGTTGTTCTCTGTTGTTACTGATGAGGACTGTAAGTTAGGTTTAGTGCTTGAAACAGAACAATGATCAGATGAATTTGATGTCCTCGTCACAAGTTGTCTTCGGATTCGAAAACATGAATCTGGCTCTAGGGTGCAATTTTTTCTAAACAAGGCTCTGTTAAAAAAAACACACAAAAAACTAAGTATTTACCAACTGGTCATGCTGTTTAGTGAACCAGAACCAATTTAAAGCTTATAGTTCAAACATTGCTATCATATGAAATGCAAACAATTAACTAATTTATACTTAAGTTAGTAATCACTGTTTATGTTAGTTGCGAGAGTGTAAAATACTTACATATGGTATTCAGATTTTTCTTTTTTGTTCTGAATCTTTTTATAACTTACAAGAATGTATTTCTTATCAAAGAAATGTATTAAAAAAATCTCCTGTCCAGATTTATGCACTACACAAAAAAAAAACTTGTTTTTAATCATTTAAATCAGTTATTTTTTCTAGAATTGAGATTTGTTTGTATTCCTACTCAGCTACACTGATATAGCAGTGCTTTATGAAACTTCATGGCACTGACCAGCCCAAAGGTTGCTTTATGATACATTAGCAAAATGACAAAAGCAGAATTTGGAATTATATTCTTATCCGAAGAGAGTAAAAATAAGAAACAGATGCATTGTCTATAAGATAAACTTAATGGACCTTAAAACAAATACAAGTGACTCATAGACTTACAAGGCTTCATTAACTGTAAATGATTCCACATTCAAAGCTTCTCCAAGAAGATCTCCACCACAATGAACAATTCTAGGATCTTGCTGATCATACAGAGTGCGTTGACTGATGTATTCTCGAACAAGCTGAATAATCTATACAAATGTTTTTTTTTTAAATACAAATTGAAAGTTACCTAACACATTCACTCAGTAAATAATTTTTTAAATCACAACAAAAGAACAGAAGAAATGTGAACACATCTACATAACAGACCTCCATATATTAAATAATTGATATCTTTTAAACCTCTATATATCGCAACTTTCCTAACAATATTAAAGATATGATGCGGTACAGTACATTCACTCATTTTCTACTCTAAACAAGAATTAAACATACCTCTCCCATGGTAAATGTCTGACCTACTCCTCCGCTCAATTGTAATACTTTAAGTAAGCTTGGTTTAGGTCGCAGCTGTAGATACAAGTATTACAATTTTAAAAAACGCTGTAGATTGAAGTATGGCCCTAAATAAACATTATAGCTAAATAGTGTGGAATGTTTTTATTTCTATTATTTTTTTAAGTAATATACAAATATTTTTTCTTTTCCTAACTTAGGTACAAACATTCAATGGACTCAAAAGCATTGCATGATATCCGTTTTATATTAATGATCACATAAATAAAATAGTGTTACTTGATCAAAGAATATATTACCATTGGAACTTTAACTGTTGTAGTTTCTGCCTCAACCATGTATTGGATAGGGGCTGATGAACCTGGTGTTGCAGAGGACATTGTTGATTTTGCTGGACTGTCAGAAATACTTAATTTTTGGGGAATAAAAATGTATAATTAGTGTAGGACTAAAAATAATAATCATGGAGGCAATAAACATGATTCAATATGTCCCTTTATGTGCGACTATGAAGCAGAATGAGTAATGCTACTGTGAGAAGCAATACTTATTCCACAACAATTTCAATCCATTTGAACTCTGCTTATAAGGAGATCGTATTATTGACCTCTTTGCCAGAGAAGGCAATCCAAATCAATCAATTAGATCAGGGTTTCTTACCCAGTGGTTATAAACCGTTTTTCAGCGCTGCATCCCATCTCAATTTCAGAACATATTCCTTGCATGACATCATTCATGGATGGCCCTTTTGGCCTATTTTTAAACCCCATCCACGACACCCCAAAAAAATAATAATTTTCAAAGTTTTGACACAAGTGAGACTTTTATCACACATGGTAACACAATTGTGAATTCCCCCCCCCCCCATATAAGCGCAATGTAGTTGTTTATAAATGGCCCCTTCTCTATTGTTTAAGTAATTCTGTTATATAGGGGTGTGCCGGAATCCGGTTCCGACGGATTTTGCACTATCCGGTGAAATCTGGTTCCGCCGGATTTACATGTATCCGGAACAACCAGAATCCGGAGTATACCGGATTTCGCAATTTGCCAGATTTTGTGACTCACAGGATCATAATCTGAAATAAAAGTAATTCTCTTTCCCGAATTCCACACGATCACGATACATTAATCTATTGTTTCGAGCGTTGAGCTTGTCTAATGTTTAATATTCCGAACATACCAGAGGATAGTCAGCACCGCTAATACTAATAGTGGCCAATAGCCAATAGTACCAAAATCCGGAATCCGGATCCAGTTGGAAAAAACGGATCCGGCACACCCCTACTGTTATATAACATGTACCATTTATAGATTATTGGCAAATAAAAACCAATTGCAAATAAATAGCATTGATAAATATTTTTGAGTTTTTATTTCTGGGTCGGGTGCTTTGTGCATAAAAACTGACATAATTTATTAGGGTATCCATGTGAGATTGACAATTGTTGACAAGGGGGAAAGAGGAGGAAAAAACTGTTAACATTTTAATGGGTGCACCTTTAGTATAATAACAGCCTAGCTCAGTAACCTTAAATACCAATAAAAGTTAGGCGCCCTAGGCCCCAGTCTAAATTAGGCCTAATATTATATAAATTTAACTACTTACTATTATAGACCCATTTTTCTTGGCCTAGTATTTTATGATTATAAGTATTGATGAAGCCTGTCTACACATGCCTAGACTTACACTTACACATACTCACTATGCTAACTAAGGGTCACCAGGGAAGGGGAGTCGTGTCACTTTTTTGTGACAATGTCTGCCAATGGGGGAGGGGGGATGGGGTTTAAACAGTGCGACATCACAATAATTTCAATAATCAAATGTATTGAAAAAAATTGCACTTAATAATGAATAAAAAATATAATTAATAATTTAAGTCTAGGCCTAGGCCAAGGCCTGTATTGCTATTATAACATAAATAAAACACTAGATAATTATAATTACTTATTAATTAGACATACAAATTTTATTTTTATATAGTTTTGTAGTCGGATTATGTCATGTTAAATTAGTAATATTATTTAATATTACTATTTGTAGTTAGCCTCTCAGACAGCCTCAGTAGATTCAGTATGGAGAGCTTACTAGCTTTCATGAGTTATACTTATAGTATACTATAGACTATAGTATATGCTTATAATAACTTATACTTAGTTATAAACTTATAATTATAACTTATACTTTGTTACTTAAACTTAAAGGTTTTAGTTTATAAATTCAATATTTATAAATTTGTAGTAAAATCTGTAAGTGAAAGTGTAAGTGTAGTTGTGTTAGCAGTGTACTAAAACATCTTACTAGAGTTACCAAGGAAAAGTAGATCTAAGTGGTATTACCTTATTTAAGCCTTATACTTATACTTATTATTACCAAGTCGTCCACCAAGTCAAGTCAAGTCGGATTATTAAAATTAAATTACTTTTTTACTTACTTTCTAATTTCTAGTTTATCGGTATAAATAAGAGTATAAGTATAAGTGAGTATTATTATGACAATTATTTCTATTAATACTTTCTAGGTATAAACGTAGTTAATCTATATAATAGAAAACTTCATTACCCAGGAACGTGCACTAAAACTCAATAAACCATCACAGCATGACAATTATCACGATTTAGAGACTAAATTAATTATTGACTTCTCTTACTTACCTGATTTTAACTCGTTCATTAAGTCGGACTGGTCATCGAACAATTATTATAAACAGATTTTTTCCAGTATTTGGTAACATTGAAATCTTTGGTTTAAAAACTTTATAATAAATTCTAATTTTTATTATAGATTTCTATAATTGCTAATAATGTTTCCCTTTATGAAAGAGAACCCGTTTACTATAATTCGTTTTAATACAAAAGACACAATTAATATTGTCAACATCGAATTTTAAATTGGAACATAAGCTTACGTCTATGACAGGGCCTAACTATACTTTTAGAAGGCGGTACCCAGTGTCAGGGCTGCGTGTGGGCCCCACACCCCCAGCGGCTGCTGGGGACATCGGATATATAAATATAATGCTGAGGATAATGTGTCCAAATTTGAGATGGGGGGGGGGCATTACACTATCAAAAAATGATTGGGGGGGGTGGCTGGGGACCGCCAAGAGTCAATCAATATGATTGGATGAAAATATTTATTAATCTCATGGTTTGGAGGGGGGGGGGGGATGTGATTCCAGAGACACCATTTGGGTAGGGCACGGGTGCATTTGACCTGCCCCCACCCCTTTTTTATATATTTTAAATTTGCTATGCACTGTGGAACCTCCGGTTATAAACAATTCAACAAGCTGGCCAAGTTTTGATTTTTTCCCCACTTTAATTTTTTTTTTTTTAACTGAAATGACGTTCCTGTGGGAACGAGACAGTTGAGCAGAGGCGTAGCGTGGTGGGGGGCAGGGGGGCAGATGTCCCCGGACGCCAGCTAGTTAGGGGCGCCAAAATGTGCTTTGATATTATTTTATTGATGAAAATAATGGGTTTGAGAGTTGAAAAAAAGAAAAAGGGGCGCTAAAAATGGATCTTGTCCCCGGGCGCCAAACACCCTCGCTACGCCACTGCAGTTGGGTCAAAGGTTGCAGGGGGAACATTTTGACGCATATAATTATAATTGATACCAATCAAATTCTGATATAACAAAATTTACGACACAATCTAAGATACAGAAGACACATATTTTACCAAACTGACATTGAAACCGGAAATTGTAGTAGCTATGGTTAGTTCCTCAAGGGCGGCCCAAGATTTTTCCGCTTCCTTCCCACACAAAAAAAAAAAAAAAACCTCTGATTCTGTCTAAAATGCCACCCCTTCAAATGACGAAAACAAGCTGGGCAACCACCACCACCTCCTCCTACGCCACCGAAACCGGGACAAAAATTCAAACAGGCCGAGACAAAACTCCTAAGCCGGGAATATTCCGGTCAGACTGAGACGTATGTGTAGGTATACATAAATGTATTTCCAATTTTAGTATTAATATACGCGTATACTAATACTATAAACACGTGAAGTCTAAGGTGTGAATGCAGACAGTGGCGCGGCTGAGTAATTACTGCCCCAAGAGGTACAATAATTTTGCCGCCCCCTTCCACGAAAAAAAACCTCTGCAGTTGGCTGAAAATACCGCCCACCATATGAAGAAATACAGCGCCACTTGAGACGGGCCGCCCCCTCCTCACCCCTTCCTAGATCACTTGCTACAAAGAACATCGTGGGGTGCCCATGATAAAGAAAATAGGCCTAGAGTTGATGTCAATAGTGGAGAATGTCGAATGCTAAATTATTTAGCAAAGTGTAGTGCTCAATATCTTTAGAAATGCGAGTGACCTATGTAAATGATTATCGTAACTCGTCTCGTTATGAAATTAGTAAGGAAGTTAGATACATTTTATCCAAATCCCAAATAATTTTGAGCCCCACGATTTTATTTTCTATCACCAAAGTTATATGGTCGCGGGCATTAAACAAATACTTGGTGAATGCCAATTTAAATGTGGATTCGAACAAAACAGATCAACGGCTGATCCGATTTTCAACATCAGATACCTATTATAGAAATGGTACGAATTTAATATCCCAGTACATCAACTCTATGTGGACTATATAATGACATATGACAGTATCAAAAGAAAATTAAAATATGAGACTATGCATGAGTTTTGCATACCCAACAAACTGACAAGACTGATGCATATAAAATTTAAAAAACTCAAAAAGCAAAATCAAGTTTCGGGGAGAATAGTCAAAGGAGTTTCAGATGAGACGAGGCGTAAGAGAAGGGGACTAGCTGTCTTGTATGATATATCATACATATTGACACACGATATACAATAACAGGATACGTTCTAAGGGAAACGGCTTAAAAGCTGGCCTAGGCTTAGATGGGTGGATGATATGAAAAAAAGATCAACAGCCGGTGAAAATCTAGAGCATGGAAAAAAAAAAGTATCTGTTAGGTCTGAGAGGAAGGAAGTGGTGATGCAGGCTAAAGATCTATGTGGATTGTAGCGCCACAGGGATGGATGGATATGATCGCAGGAATGACTTTTTTTTTAAATGTTTTTTTTACGTGAAACAAAAAGTTTGAACAAAACATGGAATTACAGCAACATCTTGATCACCACTTTGCCATGTGGATGCGTATTGGCCAAGAAGTTTCGTCTGAAATAAATATGGTCCTTAAAATCGGAAAGAGCGACGTCAGCTACACAATTGTAGATTTCTTTGTGATATTATTTACTGATGCAATATAGATCAAGGGATTTATGCCATGCTTAAAACAAAGTGCCGGCCTTTTGTTGGGTGTAGTTAGACGCCACCGTAAGACTGTCCACTGTCGTGTTTTGAATGATGGTCGCATGGAATTGATATGTTTTAGCATATACTCGTGTCAGAAGGGGCGCCCAGAAAATCTCCGCCTGAGATCGCCAAAGGGGGCTAAAGTTGACAATGTTTTATATGCTATAGGTCCGAATTATGTATTCTATCAACAAAGTAAACAATAATTAAGATGTGTTAAAAAATACTTTGATAGATTGAGGCCAAATTTATTTTTGAAAATCCGATACATGTTCATTTAAAATTTTCAAATGCTATTATCTAGGTTTCGATACATTACAATGTTATTACCATACATTTTTCAAACAAAAGATAAATGTGTATTAAATAAAAGAATCATCTCAAGAGTTTTGAAAGGCTCGCAGAAACAAGCTGTACATTCTCTGATGCAGTGTGATAGCTAGGGTTGATGCCGTCAGGGCAGGCCAATATTTTTGCCGTCTCTTTCCACGAAAAAAACTCGCAGTTGACCGAAAATGCCGCCCTCCATTCAGTCCACATAAAGGGGGGGGGGAAGCCCCACCCCCATTTTCCTACGCATCTGCTTTAATGTCAAAGATATTACAAGCAGTTACATTGTAGCCAATGAAGAATATCATATTAAAAAATTGAAAAAGTCATTTAATGAAAGTCTACAGTGGCGTAGGAAGGGAGAGTGTGGGTGTGTGTGTGTGTGGGGGGGGGGGGGGTCTGACCGCCCCGGGCGGCCCTTTTTTCCTTTTTATGGACTGGATATAGGGGGGGCATTTTTGGCTAACCTCGGGGGGGTTTTTAGGGGGTGGGGAGGGGGGGTGGGGGGGGGTGTGGGGGGGGGGGGGGGGGAGTCTGACCGCCCCGGGCGGCCCTTTTTTCCTTTATATGGACTGGATATAGGGGCGGCATTTTCGGCTAACCTCAGGGGGTTTTTTCGTGGAAAGGAAGGCAAAAATATTGGACTGCCCCAGGTGGCACAAGCTCTAGGTACGCCACTGAAGGCGTATATATCTATATTATTAAGTGGACACTCAGCTGTAAGAAAGAAACAAATTACCCTCCATCCCCTTTTTCCCTTAGAACTAGAACATATTGTAAGATAATCCTCCTTGTTGTATTTTTTTTAAAAGTCCAAGTTTGTTTGTCCTAATTATGGTATTGTAGGCCTATAAAACAGCAATACTATAAGCTATAAGTTAACACATTATCACAAATGTTTAATCATCACTCACCAATAAAATTATATTCTCTTAGAAAACTTTGTGAAACCTAACACTGACCGCTAAAACATGCCGTTGGCATTATAGAAGAGTGCAGTCAACTTGTCTGTTCACGAATGGTTGGCTTAGAATAAGCTCCGCCGAATTTTGAATAGAGGGCCGTTTCCGGTCCGCGACTAGTTGAGGTCGTTTCTCTGCCATCAGGACCCAGTCAAAATGTTAATTTGAGAAACTATTAAAATAAATATTTTGCTTAGCTAGAAAGTGTAACTTACTGTGTACCCACTACAATGCGTGACACAAATCATTTTGCTGAATGAGATTATATGGGGGACTACGTTCAAGCCGTGTGAATTAAAATAAATCGTGGAACAAGAATTATGTTAGGCTTTTTAAAAAATAGACATAAAAATTAAAAAGATGTTTCGGCTAAACGCCTTCTTCAGCAGACAATACAAAACAAGAAAAACAAATGATTTGAAAAGGTACAACGCAGGCTTTCTCAGTGACCTTTTTCAATACAAACATTGGGTCTACGATTCTACCTGCCTTGGTAAAACCCTGTTCTTTCTGGTTACTCCCTGTTTTGTTAGCAATGTGCTTTTCTATGGCATCTGGCTCTGGTGACCCTATTCTGGTGGCAACCTGCCCTGGTTGAACCCTGATGTAAAATCTAATGGCAACAAGCCCTGGTAGCACTTTTTTTTAATTATCTAATGACAACCTGTTCTTTCGGCATCTTGATCTATTATAAACCTGCTCTTGGCTTCCTTTTCTTTTTTTTTTTTTTTTTGTTTTTTTTTAAATTTAACTTATCTAATTCTGATATGAAACCGACGAAATTGGTCTCTGACAGATTGATTAGCTTTTTTTTTCATTTGGTGTCACCCTGTGCGGTCCGAACCCCCGCTCAAGCCCATATTGAACCTTGTATGTAACAACTATGTAAAACTACTGACTTACTGACTACTGGCACTTTAAAAAAAATATTAAAGTTTGTAAAAGAAACAAGACGACAATGTACGGAAAAATAGTCAAAAGAAAAAGCGCAAATCTCACTGAGCATTTTAAATACTGTTATATTATTATTGCCGCATAAAGGGCGCAATATATCATATTTTTGTAACATGTTTTAGTTTAAACATTCTTAAAACTTTAAAATCCGGACAACCTT